AAAGTCAATATCACTGATATGAAGTTATAAAATCACTTGTCATGAACACATATTCACTTGTTAATGGTTTTGCTCTGTTCTGATGTTAGTTTAGTAGCAAAGGAATAAAAAGATGAAGGTTAGTGTGGGTAGAAACTCTTAGCACGAAATGGGATATTGTGTTATCAATCAGGCCGCGATAGTTGTCAATGTGTGCCACAACAGTTGTCAACGTAGCTCCTTGACTTGTTCATGACAGTTGCGTGATTCTTGATGTAGGTTTAAATTACTGATGGCGAGTACATCTGGAAAGCATCTATTTTGCTTTGTTCACATAGGGAGAGAGTTTATAAATGATAGAGAAGATGATATGAGATATGTAGGAAGTAGTGTAAGAACAATAATATAAAAGAGGGGACAAGTTATGAAGAATTGAAGGAAATTATATCATTAATTATTGGAAAAGAAAGTAACTCATTTCTTTTGAAATTCTCAGTTGTGTATAGCTCAACAGCATCCAGTGTAGAAATTAACAACCTGAGTTATCCAAAATAACAAATAATATAAAAGGAGTTAATAACAAGTGATATAACAATTTCATAACAAATGAATGTGTAGATATTAATAATTAATATTCAAAATTTTTACAACTGAAGGTGTCATTATTTATAATGTTAAGTGATATTTGCATTAAAATATAATTATTAAGAAAAGTGTTACTCAAATTTATGTTCAATTGATAAGAGACAGTGGTTTTATTAAAAGTCACAGTACTCTATTGGCAAGTCATAGTGCCACCATTAACAAGTCATAGTGCCCCCATTGATAAGTTAGTGTGCCACCACTGTGGCGTTTGACCATATCTGTTGCGGCACTCCCATCTGTCCCAAGGAGTTGCCATTTTGTGTAAGGCACCCCAGCGCCTAATCATATCCGTCGCAGCGCCTAAACCTTTTAAGAAGTTGTTCAGTGAACAACAAGTCACAGTGCTACCATTGACAAGTAGTGTGCCACCATTAATCATAGTGTCACCATTGATAAGTCATACTGCTTCCATTGACAAGTCATAGTGCCACCATTGACACTTTATAATATATATATGACAATATAACCAAAATATAATATGACAAAGTAATTGAAAATATCATATGATACTAAAACAAGTTATGTAACTTGAATTCATATTGTTGACAACTTACATCAGCAAATTAATTGACAAGTCACAATACTCCGTTGACAAGTTATGATAGGTTTAATAATAATGCAGGGTGCAGATAATGACAACTGAAATGATAGCAAAATCTAACATACCAAGTTACACTGAAACCATTAACAAGTGAATATGTTGTTCATGACAAGTGATTTTATGACTTCATATCAGTAATGATTGACTTTTAATAACTATTCTATATCATATTATAAAAAATGGATTAGTTTTGAGGAATTAGTGATATTGTATGATGTTGTATAACATTATGTAATGAAAATCATATTTTTCTTTTAAATTTATATCAGCACATTAATTGACAACTTATGGTGCAGTGAGTGACAAGTGACGAAGCATATATTGACAATGAAGGGTGTGGATAACGACAACTAACTATGCATCAGAATGTAATACACAGCTAACTTTCATTTACAACTTCATGTACATGTAATTACATCGATTTTATAACCCCATTAAAAAAAACATATAGTTGCATGTATCCAGTATTAAACTAATTATTTATGTGTGTTGTGATATCTACAAAAAAAAATTTGTCACTTCTATTTACAAAAAAATTCTTTTGCCATCATTTGTCTAGGATCAAAGTGGCTTTTTTTTTCTTTTGCCTCATGTAACTACTCACCCTTCTTTGTTGTATCTTCTTCCTCTTTTTGTGACTTCTACCAATGAGTCAAGGGTACAGAAGGTTATAGCCTTTGTGTAAAAAATTTTAAAAATCAGTTAATGTAAATCTGTACAATGCTGTCATTATTGACAAGTCAAGGAGCTATATTGACAACTGTCGCGGCCCTATTGACAACATATTTTTCTATTTCGCAGTAACGGTTTCTAATTACACCAACCTTCATCTTTCTCATCAATTCCCCCTGAACCATGCCCAGACAGAGCAAGCCTACCTTCAATCTACCCACAATATACCCAGAAACAGAACACCTATAATCACCCTACCCACCTATAATAAACCCCAACTTGAATGACCAAACAAACACCAAACAAAAAACACAAGCAATTTTTGCCAATGATTAACATTAATAGAGTAGATGAGATTTTCAGATGGGAGTGGGGGAAGAAGCAGAATAAAGTTTGGGCTTTTTCTCTCTTGTTTCCTATGTATAGAGTGCTGATTTTCAGACTGAAAAACAGGGCAGCTTTGAGTTAGTTTAGATGCATCTCACCAAGGACAGAGGCGTCTTTTTACAATTCAGCAAATTGCACTCAAGTCCCTTTGAGACTTTAAAATCATTACCAAATTTCTTGGGAGCTTTTTATAGTATTTTGTGTTGCATGGGACCTCAACGTCATTTTCTTTTTTTTTTCCTTATAAGAATGAGGTCACTTACTGCTTTAGGCTCTGTTTGGATAGCACCCCAAACCATGGTTTGGGGAAAATGCTACCCAAACAGCCTCTCCAAAAACCAAAACCATGGTTTTGGGTCAAAACCATGGTTTTGACTCCAAAACCATGGTTTTGGAAAAATCAAATTTTTTTTTGCTTTTGGAGAAAAAAGGGAGAGTGTGAGGGCCTATATGATATGTATCTTGTTATTTTTTTTATAAACATATTTTTTTATAAATATATTTAATCTTATATTTTATAAATATATTAGACATTAATTATTTATTAATTATATTATCTTATATATTATTAATTATGTTGGTAAAAAATATATTATTAATAATTTTATTTCTTCAAATTAAAATATATCATAAAATCTATTTTTTCTGTAATTATCATATTAACTTATGTCTTTTTTTTAGTAATTTGTATATATAAAAAGTGCTTCTGATAACAACTATCCAAACACTCTCACTTCTCAGAATCACTTTTTTACAAAATCTATTCTTCACAGAATCTATTTTTTCCAGAATCTATTCTCCAGAATCACTTTTCCAAACCACGGTTTGGTTTCATCCAAACACACCCTTAATCAATAACTTGTTGATAATGTAGTTAATTTTTTGAAGCATATCCTCCCTCCCTCCTCGTGGTTGCCGAAGCTAAAACAGCTGCTACCTACAACAAGGAAATCAGGAGAATGATGAAAAAGGGCCATATATTAACTGACGAGAATTCAACCTTAAACCTCTACTTGTCAGAACAATATATCGCAATTGGGCCACTTACCTAATACACAAAATAATATAATTCATATTATTATATATAATAAATTTAGCCTCAAATCCCTTTGAAATTTTTTTCCAATTTTAGAAGGTAATTGTTAATTTTTTATAATAAAATTGTCAGCTTAGAATTACGGACAATTGTAAGTCCAACTGTGAATTTGTTATGATGTAACTGTAAATTTACTCTGTCTCTGCGTATGTGTGTTAAAACTGTCAATTTTGTTATAGCACATTGACAATTATCTCCACGATATTTACTAGTCATTTAGAAATAAAATTTTTAATTTAAAAAATGACTCATAAGACTTTCAAAAAGATAGTGGTCAACAACTATGAAAAAAGTTGTTAATTCTAATAGAGAAGTTGTTAAAAAAAATTTGTTGATTTTCATTTGCAAATAACTGGTAAATTTTTGGAGAATAGTTATCAATTTGCTAGAGCAAAAATTATCAATTCTTATATGGGATACTTGTCATTTGCAAATAATCAATTAGAACTTGCTTGACAACTTCCCACGATGGACCAACTAGTAGCATAGGCTCAGCCTCAGCACTGGCCACATTTTTTTTGGGGGGGGGGGGTTGTCGAGAAATTAAGGGTATCTTGGTAAATGTACTTCACAAATTATTTATAATTAACTTTATGGGACTTTAACTGCATTTTAGTAATTTTAAGAAATTTTTTTTTAGAGTTTGCGTTGGTAATTCTTTTTAAATTATTGTATGTATAAAAAATTTATAAAATATTCCACCATGCGTGATGGGATAAGATGTCACGATTAAATATTTTATTATTTTCTTTATATGCGTGTATATATATAATTTTATAAGTACATCAGACACAAATTAATTTTCGAAACAAAATTTAAAAAAAAAAAGAAAAGTTATGCCCATGAGTGATAGTCCTTAAGTGGAAAAAAAACAAATAGAAATAAGTTTCTGAATTTCATTCAATATTAATAAATTACAAGGGATTTAATATTTTCAAGTTTGTCTTTTTTAATCCTATTATGTAGCATAACTTCAAAGATTTTGGTTATGACCTTTTAGAATAGTAATGGGGTGACTTTGAAATAGAAAAACTAAATTAAGAAACGAACACATACAAAGTGGTAAGGGAAAGCGACGTACTAGGTCTGATCCTTGATATAAGAGCTAGTTAACTAATTTGAGTAGATTAAAAAACCAGTTAAGTTAGTTATTTATAATAAATAGGTGTTGTCTTTCTTAAAATATCTTTACTAATCAAATATATTGATTAGAATTATCATTATTATACAAACTATCTTAAAAAAATAAATAAATATGAGAGAAAAAATAAATTTACATCTTATTATTATATTTAGGATGAAAATAAAAGCTGAATAAGATTTTATATTAAATACGGGAGAATATGGGTATAATTCGATAAAATTCTGGGTAATCAACTGAGTGGTTGCGTTGAAAAGAGGCACGGAACAGGAAACTCGAAAGTGATAGCTACTAGATACATCGGCCGTGAAACACGTTCAGCATGGATGTCCGCCGGGTATAAGTACGAACGGAAGTATATATGTCAGCTTACTTAAACTAAGTGAAAACCACTCTCTCTCTCTCTCTCGATCAGCCTCTCTAAATTTGTCTCTCTGGTTCACAGCATTCATACACACACACACACACTGTGCAGGCAGATGAGGAATCCTCGCAGTGACACGAATGGATTGAAGAAAGGCACATGGACGCCAGAAGAAGACCGCAAGCTCATTGCTTATGTTACTAGGTATGGCTGTTGGAATTGGCGCCAACTCCCCAGATTCGCAGGTGATTACTTCATCGCCTTATGTATCTAATAACAGCGAATTACCGACTAAATTTTATTAATTCCAATCTTATGATGATTGGGATTTGTCAGGTCTTGCCAGGTGTGGGAAGAGTTGCCGGCTGAGGTGGCTCAATTACCTGAGGCCCGACATTAAAAGAGGCAACTACACTAAGGAAGAAGATGAACTTATCATCGAACTCCACCACCAGCTTGGTAACAGGTTTGAGCTCCAACATAACCTTTTCTGTTCAATTATATATTGCAGGTGTGGTCTCATCTCTTCTGTTGTGTAGTGCTATGCATTGATTTAAATTAGCAAACTTTGATGTGCAGATGGTCTGCTATAGCAGCTAAGTTACCGGGAAGGACAGACAACGAAATAAAGAACCACTGGCACACCAACCTCAAGAACACGCGCAGAAGTCAACCTCAAAACAAGTCAGTCACAAATGACGACGACAAGGATATTGACACTGTCGTCAAGCCAGGCAATCAATATCATTCTCAAGGTTTCTCGGACTCCGAAACTTTCAAGGTCGACGCCGACGATCATGGGAAATCCGCGGGGTCTGAATCAACCTCGAGCAAATCCTCCTGCGTAACGACGTCGGAGAGTAACCTGGATTTGGCGAGAGATCATGAGTTCTCTTTTCTGGATGCGTATTCCGGGCCAACGAGTGGGAATTTCTGGACGGATCCACCTCTTTTTCATTCTGATGATCTCCCTTACTACCCTGATCCTGAGTTTACGCCGCCCGAGACTGAAGCTCAAGCCTCTTCCCCTATCTCCAACGTGGCACAACTTTGGACTCACAATTTCTACGACCAATATTGTGGTCTCTTCTGCAATCCTGATCAATAGATGGATGATTTCTGTCTTTTGTTTCCCAGTCTGTCTAAAGTAGGTACCTTTTGTTTATTTACTCAGATATATAATGTGCATATTATTGAATGGTTGGGAATGTGCTGTACTATACAAGGAAAATAAGGAACAAGGGACCACGTATCAGTGGAAGTTACGTTGTTGAGATGTCACGGCTTGATGGGGGAGATTCGGATCCCGTTTTGGTGCTAAGCATCACGATGAGCACCATGAGCTCATCATAGTGCGCACGGTTTCATTTAGAGAGCACAACATCCTGATTCTTCGTTGCATTTTGATTTCAGCCATCCTATTTTTTTCTTTTTCATTTCATTAAAATCTTGTGAAATCAGTCTTCTAGCAGTGTTTCTTCCTAGATTAACTCTTCAGCCATTCAGCTTTCCTTCACCCTTAATGGACAATGTGTGTTGTTGCTCCCTCTTGCTCCATCGGCTGTATCTAGATTCGTTGGCCATTTTCATCAAAGATGTAGGGATTAGTTTGGCATTCTCTTGCTCCGCTGGTTCCTAGCTCTGTTCTTTTGCCCGGTCGACCATCGTCATCACAGATTCGGAGGTAAGTGTTTAGTCCTGGCCATTTTCTCCTCATTGATCTCAACCAATCTTATGTTTTGTTTGTTTTAAATTATTTTCCATCAAGTTGCTCTGATCTGGGTTATAAAAAAAAAGTCGCAAAAACAAGAAAAGATCAATCCTATAAATTAGAACTTAATTTGTTACGCGAATCAAATTTAGAATTCTATTTGCTGCCTGAAATCCTAATGGGCTTGCCTTGACACTTTTGTCAATTGGAACTCCATTTGCTCTCTGATTCAATTTTGGAACTTCATTTGCTAACTGAATTGATTTGGAACTCAACTTGGAAACTTCAACCAAAAGGGTCAGAGCGCTCACGAAGATCCATTTGGGAAGAGACACTGCTGAAGACTAATTTCATAAGAATTTAATGAAATGAAGAGGAATAAGCAAATAAGATGGCTGAGATCAAAATGCGACAAACAGTCAAGATGTCGTACCCTTTAAATAAAACGGTATGCATCATGATGGGCTCATGGTGCTTAGGCTTAGCACCGAAACGGGATCCAGGGAGGTTCTCATCAAGGGCCCCATAAAACCCGTGCATGAAGCAGCTTGTTAGCAAGAAAGGCTCGAAAGAGACTGAAATCTCATCGCAGGACTTAGGTACTAATTAACTTAAGGGCATTTTAATGATTCTGTTAATTACGAATGAAAACATACGTCCTGCAGTGATATTTCAGAAGCTTCTGGACTTTTCATGTTAATCTATATTCTTTAGAAATTAATAACTGCATTGCACCCAATTCTTTAATAATATCACAAGCCATTGGATTTGCCCGATAGATTCATGTAAGGGCCCACAATAAGTAGCTCCTTTCTCGCTGCTAGATTCACCCCAACCATCTGGGAGCAGAGGGCGAGGATTAGGTGTCAATCTTACCATCATAACAGCTCGAGACGTGCATGGTCTAAACCCAATCCACCAAACGGATAGTCATGAGCTCGCGGTTTTAATTGGAAAAGACCTTGAGCTGAACAGGATTGCCCATATAGTTGAGTTTGGTCTTAGATCTAACTCGAGATTAGGCGGGACCATGCCTAGTTTACTGAAATGCCGGGACAAGCTAGTTTGAGCAATTTATTTTTTATCTTTTGCTTTTATTTTAATTGGATAAAAATCGTCGCAAAATAATAAAATGATGGTTTGAACTCATAACATGATAACATACATCTTTTATTAACCAACCAACAAATGCATCAATAAGCAGACTCAACATTCTCAAAAACTGTGCCCAGTGGGGGCCCAGCAATATTAGAACAACTGGGCTACATATGTGGGCTGGGCCACTTTGAGCATCCAACACAGTTATAGGCCGCATCTACCATGGGCCGTGTCAGCAGCACTTAGCTCTGCCCCAGCCCCCACACGATATGCGAAATATGAATTATTCGATTGCAAGAAAATTCTTCCAAAATGGCACACACTACTATATATGCCAATGTTGCTCGTGAACTTGATATAACAAAATTATTATATAAACTGTTCAGAGTAAAATATATAATTTATTGATATATTTGATTATCACTGCTCATTCCACTGGGATCTAACTCGTGAGCCTTCAATTAAAGTCTTTGTTATAACCCATTTTTGGCCATCACACTTTTAAATACCTTTTCAGCTTTAGTCATAGTCATACCCATTTTTCTTTCTTGCTTTTTTTTATTCATTCCTTTTCATATCTTTTTACTCCTTTTTATCGATCTGCATTGGTCGAACTAAACGGACAATTGTAGTGATTCTCTAGTCGATGAAATATTGAAGGCCGTCTCATCAGTGATACTCTTCCGGTCTTAAATATAAGACCCTTATACATACTAGTATAAGAATCTTATATTTAGGACTGGAAGAGTAAATAACAAGAATCGGGGGAATGCTGGAGTGGCATATAGGTGCAGAATGACAACCACTCCTTTTCCATTAAATTTTTTTTTTAATTTTCCTCTCATCTTTTTGTTTGTTATTTAGAAGTACTTTTATAATTATGAAGTTCTATGGTAAGGAAAAACTGATTATTCATTTTTACTCATCTTAAAATATTTTAATTTAAAAAATATTTAAACTGAATATATGCCATTTTTCAATTAAAGACGTGTGAATTACTTTTTATATCCATCAAAAATTGATAATCATATTTTCATTGCATTTTATGTTATTTCGATTCATTGAAACACAAATATAAAGTAAAGTATTCGATCAAAATAATTATGACCTTTATCATTTTAACGCAGTATTAATGCTTTTTCTACAATTCACCTTTTCTTTTCTTTTCAAGGAAGAGAGAATATATAGAATGTAATTAGAAAATTGGCATATGAATATGAATATTAGTTAAAATATACTTGAAATTTTTCACAATATAAGCTATTTCTTTTTGTTCTGATGCTTAATTAGGTTCGTTTTGACCTTAAATGTAATATTGTAATGTACCGATGTCCTTTTGTCCCCAACATTTATTACTTTTTCAGTTGTAAATATAAAACTCTTTTTTAGCGTAAATTATACTATAAAAAAATATCTAGGACCAGAAGAGTTATCGGTGCATGGAATTAATAGCTTCCGAAAAAAACGGAACAGAGAGGGGAAATTTAGATAGGGATTTGGATTTGACACGGCAAAAGCTCAGAAAACAACCTTTTTTTTCCAACCAGAAAACGACATGTAATGACAATAAGTTGGCGAAAATTAATAGTGGATCAAGTTGAAAATTTGTTTAGAGGAATGCAGAGCACTTGGAAATTTTTTATATATTTAATATTACTTTAAAAATTGAAAATTATGGCAACTAAAAATATTAATAATTAGTGTCATTATTTTAACAATTAATATTAATTTTTTAACTATAAAAAAAATAGTTATAATTTTAAAACAATACTCAAACAAAACAGACTCTTGGGTGTTCAATGATGATTGAAAACTTTCAGAACATTAAGTTTTTTTTTTTTGGCCAAAAGATCATTAAGTTATTAAAAATCAATAAAAGTTGGTGCGGCGCCCACGGCTAAAGACCAAGGAAGTAGGGGCAGGCGGGACCTGCTTTGTGAGACCCAAATCGGAGTGGGGTCCGCCAAAGGATATGATGACGCATGCAAACGGTCTTTAAATTTCCAATATTGCGGCCTCTCACCCTTTTTTTCAACAAATGTTGCCATCAAAAATTGTCGCGACTTACGAGTTACGACGCTCCACCCTACCACCCGTCCTCCTTGGCGTCCTAAAAATCGCTCCGTATTTAACATATCTTCTTATTATAAAAAATTTATCATAAAATTTAAGTAATTTTTGATATTATTCTTATTAATTATAGTAAATTTTAACATTATATTAATTTTTATTCTTTAATTATGCTTATTAAATATAGGCATGTATGAAAAAAATATTTTATACTCATTAAAATTATTAAAACTCATTATAAAATGGACCAACTTTTTTTCCCTAGAATAACTCTTGCAATAAAAAGGGAGCAAATCACAAAATATGATCATCCCATCATTTTTTTTACAATAACTTTTCATTTTTATATAATCCTACCTTCAGTTCTTAATATAAGACTCTGTTTAATTTTTATTTTAGTCTTACATATAAGACTCCAATCTATTTTGTCTCTCATATTTATACATTTTTTCCAAAATAGTCATTCTAACAATGATAATTTTAGTCAATACACTTGATTAGCAAAAATATTTTAGGAAAGACAACACCTATTTAGGACAAATAACTAACTCAACTTACTTCTTATCTTTTTAAATTAGTCGACTGGCTCTTATAATTAGGATCGTAAATAGTATTTATTTTTTTTTAATTAAAAAAAGCACCTTTGCCGGGGACTCATCATGACAGCAGGCGGGGCTTTGGGAAAAAGTCATGAAAGACAATAATTTCATTACAAAAATTATCAAGTTCAAATTAGTAGTTCATAGGACCCAATTCGTCATTCACGAAAATTTTTTTCCTTCTTTAATAAAATTTGGTTGTTATTCCATCACAAAATAGCTTTAGAAATTTACCAGAATAATTTAACAATTCACAATTTATCATTAGATATTTACAACCAAATTTTGTAATAAAATTGTCATTGTAGCTGTGGCACCGTTGGTCATCAGAGCTCTAGTCGCCGGCGGGGCGGCCACCAGTCGCGAGCAGAGGTGCCTTTGGGGGGTGGGAGGGATTTTTAGATATTTTTATAAAATTGACATTTAATATTCAATTTCTATTACTTTTAATTTTCCTTTTTCCGTTTGATTCTAGAACGAACTGCTTTCTCTCGACTTCGGTTCCGCTATTCGGATCATCCAAACCGTCGCTGGCTACGCTTCATCGTCTCTATATCTTGCTGGTTACCAAAAATTTAATGCTCGTGTGTGTGTACTCTCCGTTTTTAATGTAGGAGCTATTTGACACAT